AGATAGATAGATAGATAGATAGATAGATAGATAGATAGATAGATAGATAGATAGATAGATAGATAGATAGATGAGAAAGAGAAGGAAGGAAAGAAAGAGAGAGAGAAAGAAAAGAAAAGAAAGCCAAGGGTAGAATCAAGGGAATTGTACTAGACAGCAATGCATGCAAAGAGAATCTGGATTCATATTTATTGGGCCAAAAGTGTGATGCAGCTGCAAACAAAGCAAATACAATCTAGCCTGCATAAGTAGAAATATTATTTAAAGTTCAAATAAGTCATTGTTCTTTCTTTTCTGCATTGGTCCACATAGTATCCGGTCTTGGCCATTACATTTTAAGAAGGACAGTGATAAACTGAAACCTGTCCAGAAGATAGTAATCAAGATGATAATATGCTGGGAAAAGCGAACTTATGATGAAGTATTGGATATGTTTAGCCTGTGGCTGAGGCAATTGCAAAGAAATATGATAAAATTATATGAATATCTGTCATATAAAAGACAAGGCTGAATTGTTCAGAATTGTTCCAAGAGATAGTAAAGAAACAAGTTCTAAATTAGAAGGAAATTGATATTTTGTTAGAATGTAGGAAAGAATTTCTAATACTAAGGAGCTGTTGAGTTTTCAATAGGGGACTTTCATTTAGTGAATGTGTTTAAAGAGCCTTGCTAGGCATATTTGGGGGATGTTGTAATAGTGGGTTCCTGCATCTTGAAGGTTCTTTACCAATTACAGATAACAATTATTTCTGCAGATGTATGGAACTCAAAAGAATTTTGTACTGTGGTACAGATTTTCTGGATATGGTTTTTTTGGCTATGTTTGCATCCGATTCTGAGTTTTGCTGTGAAATGACAAGATAGGAAAAGGTGTGAATACAGTCATTCCTGACACAATCAGTTATTTTTTCTTATTCATTGACCTCAGATAGGTATTTGATTTTCCAGAGGATTTGTAGACAGCAAGACAAGGGAGATAACTGGAGAGTAAATGACTTGAAATGTTGGCTTGAGGATTACCCATACTACTTGCACCTCTTCTATAGTTGCAGAGGCATCATAAGAAGTTTGCTGACACCTAATTTTCAAGTAACCAGCCATATCCACAGCCATCTACTGTGTGATATTTTTAGAGTTTTTTAGTGGGGAAACGCCTTTGTATTCAAGTTGGTGCAATTCCATGAAATGTCCGAAGCCCCATTTAGTCTGTATTACAGGATTGAAACCTGAGCAGTTGTTTAGAATATAAAGTTTTGCCCAACGACATATTTTCTTAATGGCTACCTTTCATGGCTGATTCAATCTAGCTGGAAAGGGTTGACTGAATTTGTCAGGTTATCACTGTTGGATGTGAAATATTAATTTCTCTAAATTGGAGGGCACTGTGCTTTTTAACTCACAATATTGATGCTTAATATCTGTTGCTTAGCAGTAATATCCTGCTTGAAAAATATTCAAGGTGTTGAATATTTTGAGGGTCATGTGGCAGCCATGCAGCTTTAGATAATCTTTTTAAAAACAAACTATGCCTTTTTATTAAATACTGGATTCTCTTCTCTCCTCTTCCTCTCCTTTTATTCTTATTACAAATAACTGAAGGCAACAAGTACAACAAATGCTCCTTCCTTCTATTTTACCCACAACAACCACCTTGAGAGAGAATGACTGGCTTAAGGTCATCTAGCTAGTTTTCATGGCTAAGGCGGGATTTGAACTCTCAGTCTCCCAATCCCAATTTCTAGCCTGGTATCTTAATCACTAGACCAGGAGTGTCAAACTCAAGGCCCACGGATCAGATCCAGCCCACGTGGTGCTTAGATCTGGCCCATGGAGCTGCCCTGGAAACAGTGATGGACCGGCCTGCAGTGCCTCTGCCAGCTAAAATGGAAGCTCCATTTTAGCTGACAGAGGGATGTAGGAGGCCGTTGCAGCTGAAAACGGAGCTTGGGAGCCCATTTTCTCTGGCAGAATGCTCAGGCCACCAAAGGGACCCCCGACACAAGTGATGTAGAGCTGGTCACACTTCCCCTACCCTTCCCCCCCCCCAGGTCAAACACAACCTTGATGTGGCCCTCAATGAAATCGAGTTTGACACTAAACCAAACTGGCTCTTTGTCACATTGATGGATGACCTCTTTGAGGAATATAATTCTTGAAACATTTTGATTGGGGCGGGGGGACTTTTGATACTGTTTACAGCTATATTGTGGATCAGCTAATGAGTCGGAAGTGCACAATGGTGTTAAAATGGTGCTATTGCAGGACCAAGTTAACATAGGGACATAAAAGTGATAGGTCTCTTCTTTTGTTGCTCCCTAGCAGCTGGAATACAAGTCATGGCATCTGTGATTCTGAAGGTAATAAATAGCCATCAGTACTGATAGACACTGATAGCTCAATCTTCCATGAATTTTTCCAGCTTCCCTATAGTTTCATTTGGTCTAAATAACACGTGAAGAGAGCAGATTCCACAGTTTACAGGCAGTCCTGAAGTTACAAAATAATGGAGTCTGCCTCTTATGGTTGCAAGTGGTGATGGTTGAAAAGCAAAAAGCCCACGTGATAGCATTGCTTAGTGACCCCCACTCCTGTTCTGCCCAGTGCTTCATTAAATGGCATATGGGATGCCTCAGGTGGAGGAGGCCTTGGGAGGTCTAGTAATTATCCACCTGCCCTGAGCCTCACAAGGCCTCCTGTACCCATAGGCATCCTGTGCTTTGCTTCCCATCCCTCAGGGTCCTCACAGCCTTGGGCCTGCTTCCCACCCCACAGGTCTCCCACACTTCCACATACTCCCAATCTTGCACTTACTTTTGAAAGATCTCTAGAGGTCATATTAGGGAAAGATAGCATGCCAATTCGCTTCACACCATATATTGGCCATGTGGCTGTGCACTGGAATAGGACGACATTTAAGATCAGACACAGTGTTGTTGCAGGGCAACCGTACCAAAAATGGCACCTGCTTCTAGAGATGGAGCCATGCAGCCTCCGGATTCTGAGGGTTGGAGCAGCCTTCCCTAGACAAGGTCCAGTACACCAAAACTGTGGACATGATGGATAGGGCATGTCACCAACAATGTATGTTTATCAGAAATTCACTGGTTAGAAAAATAAAAGCTAACCTAGGATTTTTTATTGAACTTATACTGCTATTGGCGTTTGTTGTTCTGGTTTTGTATTGCAGAGAAGAGGATATGAATCCAAATTATAACCCATTGGAGGATTATTATAATCCAAATAAAAAATGGATAGCAAATTACATAAATATATTTGAATTTCTAGGGTTGAGTCTGGAACAAGTTGATGTACTATGGCACTGCTTAGTTGAAGATTCTGAATGTTATGATGATGCTCTACACTGGTTCTTAAATCAAGTAAGAAGTAAAGATCAGCATGCTATGGGAATGGAAACCTACAAGCATCTTTTTTTAGAAAAGGTAAAGTGGATTTGATCTTTGCTATATAATCAGTTATTGTTTCTATTGAGCACAAGCTTCAAAATGATAATTCATTTTTTTTGTTAGATGCCTCAGCTGAAGCCTGAAACAATTAGTATGACTGGATTAAACTTGTTTCAGCATTTATGTAATTTGGCTCGATTGGCTACTAGTGCATATGATGGTGGTTCAAACTCAGAGGTAAGCAAACTTACTGAATGACTGTTTAATTTTTTGTAAAATTAAACTTGGTGTTTTCTGAGCTTGGTTGCTTTCCTGCAGATGTTTCATTACCCAACCAGATAACACCATCAATGCTAGAAGGGAGTGAGGTTTGCTGTCTGTTTATAGTCTAATGATTTGCCCTATCAGTGTTGGTGGGAGTGTTTACAATTCCTCTGTAGGACAATCAGGCAGAAGAGGTAGCAGAGTGCATCCATAAACACTAACTAATAGTCAGAAGACATGATGAAAACTCCTTAATTTCAAACACATGGTCAAACTTAACCATAGCTTCTACTGGGAAACTATGAGTATCCTAGACCAAGCGAAATCCAAAAAAGCTAGATAATTCCTGGAAGTCATCAACAGGCATGTAGAGATAAAGAACATCTACATACCATTTGAAAAACAATCAAGAAACCAAAAAGGAAACAGAAAGATCAAAATACCTTTCCTCCAGCAATCAGTACATAGATAAGCAGAGATTAATACCAAGACTAATACTAAACAATAAATAATACCCTAATCAAGGAACTACCAACTCAAAACAAACAATAAACTGCCACCTACTCAAGGAACCATCAAAAATAACTCCCACCACCATTGATAGGACAAACCACTAAGCATATAAACAGAGCAAAACCCATTTCATTCTGATCATTAGATATAGAGACATCACAGCATTTGAATACCTTTTCCAAGACTTTAATGGCCGCTCCAGCAAATGTTAGTCTGTGACATATTTCTTGACTGTTTGTTCTTTTACTATTGATGCTTAATCCGAAAAGGCACAAGCTAGCTACCATCTTGGTGTCTTCATTGCCAATTCTAAGGTTGGTTGTTCCACCTTTTGTAATTAGTTTGGTCTTGTTTAATTTTAACCTCTTTTTTCATTTTGCTCCTTATCCTTTGCATTTTTGCTCTCAGAGTATACTACAGGTTATTTATGTATCTTTCTCCAATTTTGATACCAGATTTGTCTTATTCCAATCCAGCTTTCCTTAATATATATTCAGCATGTAGGTTGAACAAATAAGGAAAGAGGTTGCAGCCTTGTATCTTTTACTGCCCAGGGCCTAATGCAATAGAGGAACATTTCTACCACCATGCTTTATAGTTGCATCTTATGAGACATGTTCCCTTTGGTTTCCCCAAACATGTTATCTGGTATTATTTCCAAATTACTTCATCTTTGCCTCATATGTCCAGAGCACATTGTTCCAGAAATCCTGGTCTTTATCTCGGTGAATAAACTTTGGTCTTGTCTGGTGTTCTTTCTGGACAGCTGAGGTTTCCTCCTGGCTCACTCTTCAAGTAGATCTAATTTGTGTGGCTTCTTCTTTCTAATGGTAGAAAGGACACTTTGACCTCACTAGTGGTGAGAGCTACCAGAAATTCAGTTAATGAAATTCTGGAGTTTATAGAGACTTGGTTCACCATGTTGTGTGAATTTGCTGGGTCGGTCTGACCTGAGCAATTTAGCAGTTGTTTGAAATCCTCTCCACTTATTTATGATCTTCTAGACCAGGGATATCAAACTCAAGGCAATCGGGGTCGGGGGTTGCTTAAATTTGGATCGCAGGGACGGGTGAAAATATCAAAGAACTGGCCCGCGGTGCCAGCAGGTTGCTGCCGGAGGCATCCATCTCATTCCCCTCCCCCCGGACAGCGGAAGAGAACTACAACGCTGATCCAGCCCTTGAAGAAATCCAGTTTGACACCCCTGTTCTAGACAGTGGAATAATTAACATACAGTTCATATTTGTCATATATTTGTTATAATACATTCCTTTACCAATATTGTTGAAATGAAGTATCTATCTGTATGTTGAAAAAGGCAATAATTTCAGTGAGGTGTACTTATTTTCTCATATCACTGTGTGCTTTCCTTTGGTGTAAAATAAAATTCAATTCAATAAAGATGTGAGGAAGATATGATAGATAATTTTACTTGACTCTAGGACAGAAATTGTCAACTGTCAACTATATTAGCTTTCCTTTCTTTCCTTTTTTGTTTTACAGTTGTGTGGTATGGACCAATTCTGGGGCATTGCTTTAAGAGCTCAAACTGGAGATGTGAGCCGGGCAGCTATACAGTACATTAATTCCTATTATATTAATGGTATGATAATTTATTTGAAATTCTGGGCTTAGAATTCCAAAGAAAATACTTTATATCATTACTTTTTTCTTATGGAAATAAAAGAAATTTAAACAATATTTTTTTTAAAATCTAGTTCATTTATTTTTAACTCTTAGGTAAAACAGGTCTGGAGAAAGAACAGGAATTTATTAGCAAGTGCATGGAAAGCCTAATGATAGCATCTAGTAATCTAGAACAAGATTCTCATTCCAGTCTTACCATTATTGAACGAGGACTTCTCATGCTTAAAACTCATTTAGAAGCTTTTCGGAGAAGGTAAATTATATCCTTGTATTGTTTTATCAAAAAGTAGTATTTCAGGAAAATTGACTAGCACTTATGAACATTATTTTTGTGGTCTTAATATTAATGTGTTATGTTTTTTAACTGCTTTTAGTTACGATTTTCAAAAAAAAATTGAAAATTTTGTTAGAAATTGAAGTGGATTATTTTCAAGGACTAGGGGATGGGGCTGGGATAAAAGAGAGAAAGAAACTTGCCTGTGATATAAATTAGAGTTTCCCGGTCCATGTACCAGCACCTGGCCACGGCATGCCAGAAATTGGTCTGTGCAAATAAGCGAAGCCCCATCCATGGGATTCAGGCAGCATGTGAAACCAAGTTCCCCCCAGTGCGTGGAAAATCTTTTGCCATGGAATCAGTTCTTGGTGCCCAAAAGGTTTGGGGCTGTTGATGTAAATCATTCTAGTTTTGGAATATCCTTTGGTTTCCTATGTAGTGTCGAGTAACCTACTTTTAAAATAAGACTAAAACATTGAGCTCATAAAATTATCTTTATAGTTCTGTAGACCTTGACAAAAGTTCATAAACATCACAAATCCTAAAATACTAAGAAATTCATAGCTACAGAAAATAAGACAGGGTCTTACTTTCTTTTGAACACCCCTCTCCCAAAATAGGCACATGGCCTTATTTTTGGGGAGGGCTTATTTGAGGTACAGAATGCGAGCATGGTCACTTCATGGCTGCTACTGTGTTGCAATATTTTCAGGGAAGGCTTATTTTCGGGGGAGGGTTTATTTTAGTACCTTTGCTCAAAAGCCCAATTTGTCTTATTATCCAAGGAGATCTTATTTTCAGGGAAAGGGTATGAGCTCAGCCTACTAATTTCACCTTGAACAGGTAGACGTGTACATTCCCATATATTTGCTCAGAAGAAATAGTTTGTCACTGTTTTCCCTTTTTATAATACTTTTTCTTCAGATTTGCATACCATTTGAGACAATGGCAAATAGAAGGCACTGGTATCAGCAGCCATTTAAAAGCATTGAGTGATAAACAATCACTACCTCTCAGAATTGTTTGTCAACCAGCTGGACTTCCTGACAAAGTATGTTTTAATTTGTTTTCACACCATATCTTGTTTTAAATCTCTTGTCTTATCTGAGAAATAAATTTAATGTATGATGTGTTCGTTTCCAGATGACCATTGAAATGTATCCAAGTGATCAGGTGGCAGATCTAAGAGCTGAGGTTACGCATTGGTATGAAAATTTGCAGAAAGAACAGCTGAATCAGCAAGCACATCTGCAAGAATTTGGTCAAATCAGTAGAAAAGGAGATTTTCCAGGTACATTTTAAAGTATTTTTCTGATTAAAACTTGACTGATTTGCAATCCAATTTGTTTTGAGTGGTAGGTTTAATTTTGTCTCTTATTTTCAGACTATTTTCATACAAAATAAAAAGGCTGTTCTAGTGTTTTTCTCAATTTTGTACATGAATGAATGAGTGAATGAATAAAATAATAGAAAATTTCTTTCTGTATTTCTATAAAATGATTGTCATGTGTAGTGGTTAGAGTAGAAGGCAAAATATTGAAAAAAAATGTTTTTCATTTTTAGGGGGTCTCATGGGGCCTGTAAGAATGATTTCTTCTGGACATGAACTAACAACTGACTATGATGAAAAAACTCTTCATGAATTGGGGTTTAAAGATATGCAGGTATTGATAAATATTTAGAGGTGATTATAAAACTTTCTGTAGTGATAATAAATTCATTATATTTACTTATTTGTTAGATTTTTATCCCACCTTTATTACTTTATAAATAACTCAAGCCAACAAGCATACATAATACTCCTTCCTATTTTTTCCACTATGACAACCCTATGAGATAAGTTGGACTGACAGAGTGATTGGCCCAAAGTCACCTGCTTGGCTTTTAAACCTAAGGTAGAACTAGAACCTTGATTCTGGGCCAGCATCTTAACCATTATAATTGGAATTGGCAACTCAATCACTTAGCAAAGTTGTTGCTAAGTAGGAAATCATGTGACCACAACTGTGTTTTTTTCCTCATTCTGCTGCCTTTTGAAATGCTCACCCCAGTGGACTCTGAGAATAGCAGCCTCAAAACTAATTATTTTCACACTTTTGGCTTTTGTTTGCTTCCTAACCACTCCTCTGCCCTTTGGAAACCTCACCCTTGCCCTAGGTTAATTAACAAAGGGGAAAATAATGTCTGTATTTACAGTAATTGGAGAGAAAGTGATTATAAAAGAGTAAGCAGACCCACAATGGAAAGCAATGTGCTGGTGTTGACAGCTGCATTCTACACAAATAGCCCAATAATTTACATTGTGGGATGACTTATTCTCTTTTAATTGTTCCCTTGCCAATCTTTCCACTATGCAAGGGGGGGAGGAGATGAATCAAGCACAAGAAACATTGCCTTCTGAAATAGATTCCCCCCCTTGCCCCCATAGAGTGTAATATTGGGGAGGAAGGATTACAAGAGAGCAAGCAGTCACAATGAGAAATACACATTGAAAGCAATGTGCTGACACCGATAGCTCTGTCCACACTACACAGACAGCCTGGTATATTCGCCATTGTTTGCCTGCTTATTCTCTTGTAATCTCCTCTCTCCAGTTTCTCTTCTCTGCAAGGATAGGAAAGAAAATCAAACTGATTGTAACTATGATCACATACATTACTAAGGGACATTGTGAAGATCATAAATAGGGCATTCATCATAAAGTTATTTTTTTCAATACTGTCGTACTTTCAGTCACTGGAAGCAGTAGATAGATGAAGACTACTTATAATTAAAATACATCCCTATGGAAAAGCTTTACCTTATTTTAGCAAAAAGCTCTGTTAAAAGTGCAGAAGGAGCTATCTGTTGGTCAACTGAAAAGATGGCAAGATAAAGTATTGCCCATTGCCAGCATGTATTTTTATACTTTGTCAGAGGGTTGACTTGTACTTTTCCTTCTCCCTGCTACCTGAACAACTTTCTCATGGCCCTAGTCAGTGTGTTGAAGTCATGCTATTGGTACCAATATCCAGATGCCTTTATAATAATAACTTTCTTACTTTTTTAAAAATAAAATTATTTTCACTTGTTATTTCAAGATGGTCTTTGTGTCCCTGGGCGCTCCAAGGAGAGAGCGAAAAGGGGAAGGAGTTCAGCTTCCAGCATCTTGCTTGCCAGCACCTCAGAAGGACAACATCCCAATGCTCTTACTTCTGCAAGAGCCGCATCTTACCACCCTGTTTGATTTGCTAGAAATGCTTGCCTCCTTTAAGCCTCCACCCGCAGAAGTGGCTATGGAAGATAGTGAGGTAACTAAGATTCTTAGGCATAATTTGTGTTTTAGGCCAGGGTCCCCAACTTGTGAGCCACAACCCACTACTGGACCATCTATTCATAATCAGACTGCAGGCCGGTGCACATGCGCGCAGCTCAAGTCAAAGAAGTGGCTGGCTGGTGCACATGCATTTCACTCGTTTGAGTCAAGCTGTACACATGCAGAAAGGTCCGCCACTTGCATTGTATTGTATTGTATTGTATTGTATTGTATTGTATTTAATAGATTTATAGGCCGCCCAATCCCGAAGGACTCCGGGCGGCTTACAGAAAAGAAGTAATTTTTTAAAAAAATAAAGAATTAAAAAACAGAGGAGACAGATTAAAACCTCATCATGCACCCAATCTGGTCGGGGCTGGACCTC